CGGGAAGGTAGAAAGAGTAAAACTGCACAGTGTGGCAGCCACACACCCACACTTCATACACACACAACAGCAATCATACAAAATCTTTAAAATGGCAGTGACTCCTTAGTAAGGGCAGAACTTCCATCTCCAAGCAGGATGCGCCATCAAAAGCTTCCTGGCTGAATGAGTGTGGTGTCCTGAACCTTTAATCCACAGTCTCATAAAAGCTAATTAATCGATTAAGGCTTGCGCACTGACTAGTCATCTCGACCTTTAGTAAAGAATTTTCCTTTCCAAGCACAAAGAATGCTTAGGAGACAGAAAGCGTGGCTACTCTGACCCCACCGTTGTGTGTCAAATGCTCCAACTACTATGGAGAACTAACATTTGCCAACGAAAAGAATTTCCACTGAGGATCAAACCCAGGGCCTCCATATGCCAATCATGTGCCCCAACTGAGATATTTCCCCAGGCCCCTTGGCTCGTTTAGAATTCATTGCAATCCACCTGCCTCAGCCTCCTGGGTGCTGACATTACAGTTATGAGCCATAGTGCCTGGCAATAAACACTCTACCAACTGCTGTACCTGCTCACCCCGGGCCGTGGACTATTTCCTGACAAGTCTGAGAAACAAGAGAATTGTTTGTAGCTTGGTAACACGGCTCGGTAGCACACGCTCCAGGTAGCAGCTACGGGAGGAGTTAAGTATCTTTGCTTTCCAGTACAGTGATTGCTAGGTAGGTGTTCTGAACTGTACCCCGGCTCTGTGGTAGTGACGGGCGGGACACTCAGGACTCTCCTAGGTCCTGCTTCTGTGGTTCAGAAGCACGGGGTACAGAGCTGGGGTAGAGATGAGAGGATTCCAGAAAGGTGTGCCGGGGGGAATGGCAGGGGCCATGGTGGGCACCGTGGGCCATGTGATGAGAGCAGGCGAGGGGAATCGGGCCTGTGTTCACGCTGTGAGGGGCCTGGGTGGAATAAGCTCTGGGTAGCTGGGGAACACAAGGAAAGAGCTTTTCTCCCTTTAATCTTTTAGTGTTTAAAATGCGTTAAAATGTGTTTAAGTGCATTAAAAATACACACAATATAGAATTTACCATCTAACCTCTTTATTTTATATTTCATTTTATTTGAGACAGGATCTCACTATGTAGTCTTTGCTGACCTGGAACTTGTTATGTGGACCAAGCTGGCCTCCAACTCAAAAGATCTGCCTGCCTCTGCCTCCTGAGTGCTGGTATTAAAGCTACGTGCCACTATGCCCAGGTGCCTTTTTTTTGGCAGGGTTTTAGGCAAACTAGACTAACCTTGAACTGACTGCAAGGTAAGATGACCTGAATACCTGGTTCTCTGCCTCCACCTCCTATCCACTCACTGGGATTTCAATTGTGTCTAAGACTTTGACCTCCAGGAAACCTCCTGTGAACAGACTGACTATACAGCGCTGTTAGCTGTGCTTGGGTCTGGGTCTCTTTTCTCAAGAGTTGAAAGTAATAAGCTCCCATGGGCTTGTCCAAGGAGTAAGGTCACTTGGTTCAAGGCTAAGCCTGGGCTGCACCAATGAGGTATTCAATGGCACCCATTATTGTTGGGGCTTCTTACTGAGTTCCAAAGAAGATTACTATCTTCATTAGGGTTTCTATTACTATAAAGAGAGACACCATGACCATGGTAACTCTTTTAAAGGAAAACACTTAATTAATAGTTTAGAGTTTAGTCCATTATCATCATGGTGGCGGGGGAGGCATAGTGATACCCAGGCCGACGTGGTGCTGGAGAAGGAACCAAAAGTTCTACATCTGGATTGTCTGGCGGCAGGAAGAGAGAGCAAGAGACAAGGGTCTGGCTCAAGCTTCTCAAACCTCAAAGCCATCCCCCAGTGACACCCTTCCTCTCACAAGACCACACCTACTCCAGCAAGGCCACACCTCCTAATGGTGCACTCACTCTGAGTCTCTGGGGGCCATTTGTATTCAAACCACCCCAGTTACTAGAGGGTTTAGTTTGGGTGGTTCTTTCTTTTGATTGATGTATTAGGTCATACATTCATTTACCTTCTATGTCCCTTCCCACAATGCATCGGACTTTGCTCACGTGCATACCCAATTATGTGGAGACATACATGGTGAATATGAAGTCTCCCTACAGTGTTGCTTGAGGACATGGTTCTCTTTTACGGCCCATGTACCTAAACCCCTCGAGGCCAGATCGGCCCCTCTAGTCTTCATACCTAGATATGGTTGGGAATATGCCTGAATAGAAACTGTCTGGATTTGACTGTTACCAGCAACACAACGCTTACTCCATTGTTCAGAGGCGGGGTACACAGAGCCTGATACAGGTGGGGGTGTCAAGGCGTTCTGAGGCTGCTAGGTACATTATCACAGGGAGGGGGAGCATACACCCATAACCCACCCAACTCCTGCCTTACCCTCCTGAGTGCCAGCTTACAGCTGAATGGTATACATTATTTTTTCCCTTCTGGTGGTGTTTTTGTTTGGCTTTTGTTGACATATGTTAATTTTACACTATAATGGGTTTCATCATGACACTTTCATACATGTATGTAATATATTTTGATTATATTTCCTCCCCGTTTAAGGTAGAGACACCTCCTGTGCATACGGAGTACACGTTGCTGAGCTTTTCATCCACCTAAAATGCTTAGTATAACGAGAGTCTTTCCCGTTGACGCAAGAAAACACCCAGAGGTGGGTAACATAAGATAACAGAGGGTTACTTAGTTCAAGGATTTGGAAGATCAAGAGCCGGCACTGACCTCAGCTCTGCCTGCTATGAGGAGGCTCACAGGGAGAGTGGGGAGCCAGGAAAGGAGGGGATACCGGACTTACTATTCCATTACAACCCACCATAGCAGCTTTCTTCTGGAGTACAACATTAATCCCTAGAGAACAGCAACCCCTGGTTAAGATTTCAGAGACTGAACTGACAAGCAGGGAGCCTGCATGGGACTGACCTAGTCCCTCTGCATATATGTTACAGTTATGTAGCTTTGTCCTCTTGTGGGGCTCCTAACAGTGGTAGCAGGGACTGTCTTCGGCTCTTACTGGGTTATTTAAACTTTTTTTTTTAAAAAGATTTTAAAGATTATTTATTATGTATGCAGTGTTCTGTCTGCAGGCCAGAAGTGAGCACCAGGTCTCATTACAGATGGTTGTGAGCCACCATGTGGTTGCTGGGATTGAACTCAGGACCTCTGGAAGAGCAGTCAGTGCTCTTAGCCTCTGAGTCACCTCTCCAGCCCCTTTTTACTGGCTTTTGGGACCCTATTCCTTATACTGGGTTGCATTTTCTTACTGCAACTTGACATGCCATGCTTTGTTGACCCACCCATGGGAGACACACCCTTTCCTAAACAGAAAGAGAAGTGGGTTGTGGGGATGGGAACAGAAGGGGGTGAGGGGAAGGGACTGGGAGGAAAGAAGGGAAACTGCGGCCAGGATGTGAAATACATAAATTTATATAAAAAGATTCTACCATCCACAGCACAGCGACACGAGTAGGACTGAGCCTCGTGCAACACACGACAACCAGATCCAGACCCTAGCACTCACACTTGAGCAATGTGCTGTCAATCTGGGATAGAATCCACCTGTCTGAGACCCTGCTTTTTTACTCATTTACTTTTATTGTTCAGCATTTTATTTTAATTATGTGTATGGGAATGTGCCTGTTTTTGTGTGTGGTGTGTGTAGACGAATTTAGGTGCCTGTGGACACCAGAGGCATTAGGTCCCCTTGGAGTTGGAGTGAGTCACCTGACCCGGGTTCTGGGGACCAAACTTGGGCCCTCTGCAAGAACAGTAAAAGTTCTTAACCTCTAAGCTGTCTCTTCAGCCCCACCGACCCTGTTCTTAAATGTTTATTAGTTTACAAAGAGGTTTTAATATGGCTTATCTTCAAATAACGTTTGTTTTACTGTTTCTCTCCTCCCTTTCTTCCACGTCCCCTCCCCTTCCCCTGTGCCCTCTCACCCCAGTGACCCCTCTCCACTTCTACGTCATAAGTGACACCCTTTAATTTTGTTATTTGAGACAGGGCCTCCCTGAGTAACCCAAGCTATCCTCAGACTTAATCCTGTTTCTGACTCCCTAGAGCCGGGCTTGTGGAAGTCTGCCACACAGGCAGCTTGTGGAGTCTGGCTCTAATTCCTTTGGGTACGTACACAGAAATGGGATTGTTAAAAAAGCAGAAATACTTCTGAACCTGCCTCTTACTCCTTATCAGAGGTTACCTAGGTACGCCCAGGGCAATGGATAATAGACTCACCCTTGGGCCCCACCTATCTGCCAGAGGGAACAGGGGTCAATCTCACCTACACAAGATTGAGGATCACTCTGAAAAATCCAGCCAGTGCCACTTCTGGCCCAAAGCAGCAGTGCCACCCCAACCTTGTGTTCTGATCACAGGTTGAATGCACATAAAAGATACACACCCTGGGGTTTACAAGGCAGGCCCAGCACGCCACCAGGAACTGAAGGCATGGACAGGGCTTCCACTCGGGATTGTGCCATCAACACTATTAAGACCACGCAGCAGTCACTTTGGGGTCAGGTCCCAAATATATCACCTTCCTCTGGCAAGGCTAGTGAGAAGACAGTTGGAGGGCAGGGTAGTCAGGCCATTGTCTGTGCTTATCAGTGGGTATCCTGGGTCCAGGGAATCAAATCCAGGTGCTGGCCGAGGCTGGGTGCTTGGAATCCCACCGACTTTGAGCATCCGGAGCACAGCCTGGTTCCAGATGGCTCTCAAGAAATCTAAGAATCCCTGACAAGACACTCATGAGCAGAGGGTGGCCCCAGCAGCACACAGCACGAGTGTCTCATCCAGGATGGCCCCCTAACCTATCATCCAGCCTAGGGGGAGACACAGGAGCCTGGCCCAGTCACACCCTAACAACCAGGCTTCAGTTCACAGGTCAGGGGTGGGGACAGAGTGACTTTGTATCTAGGGGAGGGACATGACCCTTTACAGCCAGAAACAAAGTCCTTCTCTGACTCGAGTCCAGGCAGGTCAAATAGCAGTTGGTGCCTTGTTTTCTAGCCACGCAACTTACCAGTAGCTCCAGTCATGCAGGGAGACCGGGTGCTGCTATTGTTGTTGCTGGGCCTCAAGATACATCTGTCCTTTGGTATCATCCCAGGTAAGAAGGCTCCTTCCGGACTCCCACAGGATTAACCTGACATCCCCACTTGGACTAACCTGGGTCTGCTTCCTCTTGGCCAGCGGAGGAGGAGGACCCAGCCTTCTGGAACAAAAAGGCAGCAGAGGCCCTGGATGTTGCCAAGAAGCTGCAGCCCATTCAGACGTCAGCCAAGAACCTCATCCTCTTCCTGGGGGATGGTGAGTTTGCGAGGCCTGGTCACCCTGGGGTCCTTGCTCTCCAAGCACCCTGGTGACTCAGGTCTGATGAGGCGTTGTTTCTTCAGGGATGGGGGTGCCCACAGTGTCAGCCACCAGGATCCTAAAGGGACAGTTGGAAGGCCATCTGGGACCTGAGACACCCCTAGCCATGGACCGTTTCCCATACATGGCTCTGTCCAAGGTGAGTACTGAGCCACATATCTGGGATGAGGGAGAATAGATTGGAAATTGTTGGAGGAGGAAGAATCTAGAAGAACTGGAGCCCAAGTTGGCAACCAGAACAGTGTGGACATGTCCCAGGAAGATAGGACTAATGTCTACCAGTAGCACACAGCTGAGAATGTCTCTGTCCCCAGACATACAACGTGGACAGACAGGTTTCAGACAGTGCGGGTACAGCTACCGCCTATCTGTGCGGGGTCAAGGCCAACTACATGACCATTGGAGTGAGTGCAGCTGCCCGAGTTGACCAGTGCAACACCACATTCGGCAATGAGGTCATCTCAGTGATGTACCGTGCAAAGAAAGCAGGTAGGTTGGTGCTGGGCTTGGGAGCTTGGGCAGGTCTGGTTCACTGGGTGACATTCTATCATCTACAGGAAAGTCTGTGGGAGTGGTGACCACCACCAGGGTGCAGCACGCCTCTCCAGCCGGCACCTATGCACACACGGTGAACCGTAATTGGTACTCGGATGGAGAAATGCCTCCTTCTGCAGTTCAGGAGGGCTGCAAGGACATCGCCACACAACTCATTTCCAACATAGATATTGATGTGAGCTCCAAGAACCATGGGGAAGGCTGGACCAAGGGATGAACCTTGGACTGGCCAAAGTCCAAGGCATAAAATGTCTGAACTCCAGGTCCTCTAGTAGGGGGGTGTGGAAAGCCCAGGAAAGGTATATCCCACAGATATGATGGTGGCACAGGCATTGTATGTCAGAGGGGGCAGGACCCATAAAGCCCTAAGTCTACCTGTGCTGTTTATCTGACCAAAGGTGATTCTCGGTGGAGGTCGCAAGTACATGTTTCCCAAGGGGACGCCAGACCCTGAATACCCAAATGACACTAGCCAATCTGGAACAAGGCTGGATGGAGAGAACCTGGTGGAGAAGTGGCTGAAAAATCACCAGGTGATATGGGTTCCAGGGGAGAGGCCAAAGCAGGGCCCAGGGCAGGACTGCACCCCAGGGCTGTGTGCTAAGACTGGCTTGTCGCTGCAGGGGGCCCGGTATGTTTGGAACCACACGGAGCTCATTCAGGCATCCCAGGACTCAGCAGTGACTCACCTCATGGGTAATGCCCTAGTTCTGCCCTGGCACCTCTCAGTGGGTGTGTATGTACGCCATGAACCCCCATCCCCACTTCCCAGCTAGGTGGTCACCATGGATTCCTGTGCCTCTCAGGCCTCTTTGAGCCAACAGATATGAAATATGATATCAACCGAAACCCCTTACTGGACCCATCTCTCAAGGAAATGACAGAGGTGGCCGTGAGCATGCTGAGCAGGAACCCACAAGGCTTCTATCTCTTTGTGGAAGGTGAGTGGCTGGGCCTACAGGGAAAGAGGCAGGGCCAGGGCTCCAGAGCAGACTCAAGCATCTCCCCATCACTGGCTTCCTGCAGGGGGTCGTATTGACCAAGGCCACCATGAGGGCACAGCTTACCTGGCATTGACTGAGGCTGTTATGTTTGACTCTGCCATTGAGAGTGCCAGCCAGCTCACCAGTGAGCAGGACACGATGATCCTCGTTACCGCTGACCACTCCCACGTCTTCTCCTTTGGTGGCTACACACTTCGGGGGACCAACATTTTCGGTAGGGCAAGGGACAGTGTCAGGTGGTGTTCCTCAAGTATATGGATAATGCTGGGCCTCAGTTTCCTCGTTTGTCAAAATGTCACAAACAGCACCTGCCTTGTAGGGATTGGTGACCATTTAACTACTGAGCAAGCAAAACGGTGAGTTTGCCTGCACTCCAAAAGCCGTAGTCAGTACAAGGACATGGTGTCTCCATTCCTCCATGCAGATCTGGCCCCACAAAATGCCCAGGATGGCAAATCCTACACCTCCATTCTCTATGGCAACGGCCCCGGCTACGCGCTTAGTTCAGGCGAACGGCCCACTGTCACCAGTGAAGAGAGTAGTAAGTGCTGCAGTGTTGCCTAACTGGGCCTGCAGGCAGAGAAGACCAGGACTCCTTCTGAACACCCTGTCTCCCTAGGTGACCCCTCATACCGGCAGCAGACGGCTGTACCCCTGTCGTCAGAGACCCACGGCGGGGAGGATGTGGCGATATTCGCGCGTGGCCCACAGGCACACCTGGTGCACGGAGTGCAGGAGCAGAATTACATTGCGCACGTCATGGCCTTTGCAGGCTGCCTGGAGCCCTACACCGACTGCGGCCTGGAGGCCCCCGCTGGCCAGAGCAGCACCATCGCCCCGACCAAAGTCACAAACAGCGCAGCAGGCAAGGCCACTGCACTGTTGTCCCTGCAGCTGCTGCTTAGTGCGCTGTTGCTGCTAGTAGGGACACGCATAGCGGCACCATGATGGGCCAGTGCCCCGCTAGGCTCCTCCCCAGTGTTAAACCGCTGGTCCCTTTCACCCCCACTCAGGGTTTCCTTTGCTCTATCAGTCCTGAGTTCTAGTCCACAACTCTAGTGGCCACCTCTGAGAAAACACTCTAGGCTTTAGAACTTGCCCCGGGGCTTTTGCTTCTCAACTGACTGTCTCTGGAGTGGGAGGTGCCGAATGGTACCCAAGAGGCTGAGGCCCAGGGTTGCCCTAGACTCCCCTTCACACCTTCACCCTTCACAGGACCCAAGGAACTTAGCTTTTCAGGTCTTGGCTTACTCCCAAGAAATCCAAGCAGAGGTCCAGGAGGCCGTGGGGTCTCAGCAAGCAGCCCAAAGCAGTCTTGGCTTCCCCCCTGCCCATCTCCAGCTACACATAGATACTGAACACGGGCTATTTCCTACCTTTGGGGCCTCCACTCTTTGAAGAGACATAATGACAATAAAATGAACTGTTACATAAGCCAATGCCTCCAGTACTTTCTAGTAAGAAAACCCTGGGAACCTGGGGCACACAGTGCAGGTGGGCAGGTGGGTATTGGATCTTAGGAGGTTGGGGAGAGGCTGTCTGAGGAGAAGAGAGCAGCGTGAAAGTGGACAAAGTTCAGTGAGCCATGACTTCAGGCCCTGCCTTCTGACCAGAAGATGCAGGTCTCCAGAGGGTCAAATTGCTAAGCCACACACAGCTCATTCCTGGCCTAAGGACCCCCTAGCTGGAGAGGCAGGGCAGGGGGTGGAGCAAAGAGGCCCTGAAGAGTGCAGCCTGGGGCTGCAGTGATGGTGAAGCTGTTCAGGTGGAGGTCAGGGGACGCCTGGATGCCTAGCTCAGCGTTTGTACCCTGTCCTTCACCCAGAGCAGCCAGCAGGTGAGAGTGGCGGCTGGTCTGGCCCAGGCAGATGTGGTGGCGGCTCCTGGGGAGGGTGGGTCACTACCTCCCTCTCTCAGGCCACATCCTGCTCAAGGTGGGCAGATGCCAGCGGTCTCTCCCAAGGTGGTAACACCTGCCCTGGAAAATATTTAGGCTCTCCACTTTACTATCCCGGGAGACAAGGGCAGCTCGGGGGCGGGGCAGGGGAATGACTCCAGTCTTCCCAGGCTCCCATGGGGCTGCAGTGAGCACCAGCTTGTGACCAGGGGGTCTGGATCCACCCCCCAGAGCTCCCATCTGCTTCCTGTAGTGCAGCTTTAGCAGATATAGGAAGTTCAAAGGTCACTGAGTAGGTAGCTCTAGGAAGGTGGTAGAGGGGCCCTGAGACAAGGAGCTCGAGGCAGGAGTGGGGGACCTGCAGCCTTCCCTGCGGTGCCATGCATGGAGCAGATGAGCTGGGACACCTGCTAAAGATACTGCGAAGCTAGCAGCTCCTCCTCATCCTCCTGGAAGATCTGGTCCAGCGGTCACTTCTACTGCAGCTGTGGGGCTGAGGATAGGAAACAAAGGACAGCAAGTATAGGGTATCCAGGGACATGGAGGACCTTGACCATAACTGAAAGATGACCCAGACAGAGTTCCAGAACCTCCTCACATTGCCGGTCCCTCAGGTCTGGACATCCCTCTGAGAGCTGATCTGCAGCTGCCCCAGGGCACTTTGCTGTGCATGGTGGTGACGTCTGGCTGAGGGTGATATGCCTGGACAGAGATCTGGGGTGGAGAGCAGACAGGCCCAGCTCTTATCTGTGTGCCCTGCCCCTGCCCCAGAGCTGGCCTCCCCCAGCTCCTGCGGCTCTAGAGCTGGCCTCCCCCAGCTCCTGCGGCTCTAGAGCTGGCCTCCCCCAGCTCCTGCGGCTCCTGTTGGTTCGCCACTGCTCCAGCTTTTCCCCGATCCTACACAACATCTGCTTCTTCTGCTTCACATCTGCCTCCAGCAGGCCGAGCAGATGCTCCTAGGACACCCATCAGAACAGAGGCTCTTCCATGAGGTTGAGAGAGTGAGGGATCCCTCCAGGATCTAATCACCATCTATTCACTGCCTCTCCCTCTGACTTCCTTACTTAGGAGGTGGATATCACAGCTTCCAAGGCTCGATCCTGTGACTGCTCCAGGAAAACTATTTACTCCCTCCTCCAGAGTTCTGCCTGAGCCCAGCTCCCCCTAGCTCCCCTCCCAGTACCAGGCCACCTGCTGGATTGCCAACATCTGGGGAGTTCCCAGGGATAGCACTCATGTTCGTGTGCAGTGGGAAGAGTGTGTGTGGTCCAGCCTGACCGTGAAGAATACGGTCGCACTGTCCATGTCCTGAGCCTCACTCAGCAGCTGGCTGAGGATCAGAGTCTTTGCAGCCAGTGCCATTGGCCCATAGTGTTCGGAGCCCACACAGTAGTCACGGTAACGGTGCTCCGGGACTCCTTCGTCTTCTGTGGACTTTACTCCTGCTATGACAAGAAGACTCTCCATATAGTCCTAACTGAGCATGTGACCCTGCAGATGGCCAGGCCCCACAGCTCTGTGGCGAGCACTCCTTTTGGTCTACCCATGAACACGATGTACCTAGCTGCTCAGTGGAGCGGCAATAGCCATGTGTGACAGACATGGAGGCCCTTCAGTCAGGAAGGTTGAGAAGGCCATGGACGTAGCTTGGTCGTTTTCCTTGGCTCCTTTTTTTTTTTTTTTTTTTGGTTTTTCGAGACAGGGTTTCTCTGTGGCTTTGGAGCCTGTCCTGGAACCAGCTCTGTAGACCAGGCTGGTCTCGAACTCAAAGAGATCCGCCTGCCTCTGCCTCCCAAGTGCTGGGATTAAAGGCGTGCGCCACCATCGCCCGGCCTTTCCTTGGCTCCTTAAAGGCTGGGCAGACCTGGTCTGAGAGGAGAGATATCATACAAACAACGAGCGGGTTCCTGGCTGGATGGGGGCTGACATGGCTTCTAGACACAGTCCACCCAGTGTCAGATGCTCTGTATCAGCCTACCAAACCCCCGGTAGTCCTGTGGGCTCGGAACCTCTGATCACATGAGGTCTGCTGTATGCAACAGCAGAGGGAGGAGGCAATGGCTCAGAGGTTAAGAGCACTGGCTGCTCTTCCAGAGGTCCTGAGTTCAATTCCCAGCAACCACATGGTGGCTCACAAACACCTATAGTGAGATCTGGTGCCCTCTTCTGGTGTGAGGTAGGACACTGTACATATAATAAATAAATAAGTAAATACATCTATCTTAAAAAAACTTTCTTCCCTGCTCCCATATCCACCCTTCCTCCATCCCAACTGTCCCATTCCCCCAAGCTCTCCCCATCCCCCTTCTCACTTTTTTCTCCCCATATCCCTTTACCCCCCCACCTCCACCCCCCAGTTTCCAATTTTTGCCTGGCAATCTTGTCTCCTTCCAATATCCAGGAGGATAACTAGATGTTTTTCTTTGGGTTCACCTTCTTATTTAGCTTCTCTAGGATCACGGATTATAGCCTCAATGTCCTTTATTTATGGCTAGAAACCAAATATGAGTGAGTACATCCCATGTTCCTCTTTTTGGGTCTGGCTTACCTCACTCAGGATAGTGTTTTCTATTTCCATCCATTT